CAGCAACCTCCAACTCTTGGGCTCAAGCGATTCTCTTGCCTCAGCCTCCCAAGTAGCTGTGACTACAGGCACCTGCCACAATGGCTATTTTTTGGTTGCAGTTTTCATTGTTGCTTAGCAGGCCCAGGCCGGGATCAAACCCACCAGCCTTGGTGTATGTGGCCTGCGCTCTACCCACTGAGCTATGGGTACTGCCTACCACCCCATTCTTTAATCCTTTGCAATCTTTTCCCTACTGCCTTTACCAAAATTGTATTATCAAGATCAGTGTCTTTGGCTCGGAACCCATACCTTAGTGGTTAGGGTGCTGGCCACATACACTGGGACTGGCAGGTTCAAACCCAGGTTGGGCCTGCTAAACAACAATGACAAGTACAAAAAAAAAATAGTCATGCGTTGTGGCAGGCGTCTGTAGTCCCAGCTGCTCAGGTGGCTGAGGCAAGAGAATCGCTCAAGCCCAAGAGTTGGAGGTTACTAAGAGCTGTGATCCCATGGCACTCTACCGAGGGTGGCATAATGAGACTTTGTGTCAAAAAAAAAATCATTCCTTTCAGTCGGAGACACCATCTTCCAGTAATTCACCAAAATGACAAACACAAAGGGAAGAAGAGGAGAGGCGCCCCATACATGTTCTCTAGGCTTTTTAGAAAACATGGAGTTGTTCCTTTGACCACATATATGCGAATCAACTAAGAATAGTGATGTTGTCGATTATCAAAGTAATGGGTACTATTCAAAAAGGCATGCCACACAGATGTTACCATGACAAAACCGGAAGAGTCTACAATGTTACCTAGCATGCTGTTGGCATTGTTGTAAACAAACAAGGGCAAGATTCTTGCCAAAGGGATTAATGTTCGTATTGGGCATATTAAGCATTCTAAAAGCTGAGATAGCTTCCTGAAATGTGTGAAGGAAAATGATCAGAAAAAAAGGAAGCCAAAGAGAAAGATCAACTGAAGTGCCAGCCTGCTCCACCCAGAGAAGCCTACTTTGTGAGAACCAATGGAAAGGAGCCTGAGCTCCTAGAACCCATTCCCTATGAAATCATGGCATAATAAGCATATAACATAGCACACAGGAGTATTAGTGGACCCATGTTTTTAGGTGCAAGAACCTATTTATTCCCCATGAGCTCATGGCATAATAGGTGTACAGCATAGCACACAGGATAACCAACAGACCCCATGTAATAGTGATACAAAGTGCGGGAACCTATTTCCCGTAAATTCAAAAGTCAACGCTTTGTCACATTCAATGGCAAGATGCCTCCCTGAGCTACTGGAACCTCTTCCCTATGAATTCATGGCATGGTAGATAAAAATAATAGCCTACTGCTACTGTAAAAATCTTTCTTGTTCATTCACTAAAAGTATGATATTTTTCCCCCAGAGAAGTATTAAAGCAAATTTTAATGTGTCCTTAAAAAAAAAAAGAAAAATCAGTGGCTTTTTATATTTTGAATTGTGTGGGCTTTGTAAGTATTCAGAAGTATTTAGTT